AAGGGGGAGGACATTTAAGTTTAAAAAAAATGTTTTTTTTTTTTTTTTTTTTTTTTTTTTTTGAAGCATGTGCAGCATTTTGTAAGCTGAATATGGCTGTTTCCCTGTTAAAGGAGTTCCAGGAGCTCTGGTCAAAACTGGCTGTGGTGGTGGATGGAGGACCAATAGGAGACGAGACCCGGCAAGGGTCAACTGTGATTGATCTGTCGGTATCTGGTAAATACAAAGTCATCAGACCAGGCTGGTAAGTTTTTGTTTTTACTTTTTTTTTTTTTTTTTTTTTGATAAGGTATTGTTGTTGGAAGTTTTGTTCACTACTACCACATTCTCTGTCACATTTGTCACATTTATTAGCACCCTTAATATTTGCTTCCTTTTACCAAGTGCTCCTTACTCCACTAACATTTAGCCCATCACAGACCTAACACATATACAGTCAGAAGTCAGGGAAGCAGAAGCGATGATCTGCAGAGATTGAATGAAGCGAAATGGTCAACTTCAATGTTGAAAGTACAATATTGACAACAGGGATAATAATAATTGTGCCATTGTTGATTACAACTTATTTATAAAAAAAAAAAATTCTGTAAATGAATATACTCAAATTATTATTATTATTATTTTTTTTATTTTATTTTTTTTTAACCATTTCACCAGTGTGAGATGATGCTACTCTTGAATTTAAGACTTTCTATGCATTTTTCCTAGGGGTACCAATAAATGTCTTGAGCAATAATTAGTAGTACTAGAAATAAGTAGGAATTCTGCTCTATTATTTTAGGTAATAGCTGCAGTGATAATTTCTGGATTTCCAAACACATCACCCTTTCTTCAGATTAATTCAGATTGATAGAGTGTGATCTAATGCTCTAAAACAGGTGTTTAAAGTTTTAAACTAAGCAAACTGGCTTCAGATGTGTGGATTTTACAGAGGAGCTCATATCACTTTCTCATAAAAATTCACTACGACATTGTTACAATGTACTCAGTAAAAACCTGCTGCAAATATGAATTTCAATTAAAGTTAAGGACATACTTTAATCAGCTGTTTGACATTAATTAGTCTGATAAAACACAACCTCAGCTTACTACAGGCTCCCCACAAATGCCTGCCAGCTTGGATTAAATACCGCAGAGTCAGCTCGTCACATTGTGTTTATTTTTGCCTCTCTGACTCTGAGCTCCGTCGCCGTGCCCCTCTCCTAAAACCTCCCACGCTCCCTCTGAAGTGGACTTGGTGTGTTAAATGACAAATGACCCTAATTCTGTTTTCAGTGCCCTTTCTGCCACGCTTGACGTGTTGGAGCACAAATACGGACTGTCAGAGAACTCAAAGGAGGAATGACCTTTAGACCCTACGCACTCCAAACGCACGCTAATACGCACAACCGGTTCTGACCCGAAGAAACTCAGGAAAGTAAGAATATGAGAGCTGGACATTCCCATGGAAAACAAAAAATGTAGGAAAAACCTGAGTCTGTCATCGCAGATGGTGGCTCTCTTCTCAAACTGAGAGTTGCTTTTTCTTTTTGCATTTTATTTTTTTGTTTGTTTTTTGCTTAACCACTGATCATGATGTGGTGTAGAGGTTCAACATGTCTCGGTTTAGTTTATTCAGGAATTCAATAAATTAAGTAAGCTGAATCTTCTGTAATATTTTTTTCCTTAAATCTCTTCATGTTATGAAAGTTTTTACTGTGTGCCTAAATTATCCTTTGTAGCACAGTGAAAGGATTAGACTTCAATAAGTTGTGTTTCATTGTCACTCAGCCACAGATATTTTACACCTGACAGATTCAAATTCGCTCTGTTGTTATTAATTTTAATCATCTATTAGATGCTGTTCCAATTTCTCTTTTTCCATTTATCTACTTTCATCCTATATTGGACCTGGGTTTTTTTTGGATCATAATTTCATAATCTGTTTAATATATTACGATAATAAAAGTTTTTTTTTTTTTTTTTTTTTACTTTTAACTGTGTATTAAAAACTTTGTACGCCTTTAAAATTATTTTTGCAAACATTTTAAAGATCAAGTACGTATTTCTCCACCAATGTTCATGGACAATAAAATCACATGACGTATGGATTTCCACTGCAGGGTTTCACAAAAAAAAAAAAATTATTCCGGCGTTGTTTACATTTTTGTTAACATCAAAAGAAACAAGCAGGATTATTAATTTTGATTTCCGAAAGGTTAAAGTATTTTGTGGCAAAGTTAAACTCCTACGACAGACGGTGAGCCTGACGTGAACAGTGATGACTATGATCGTCTTTCTAACTTTTAATTGTTATAAATTTGTTCATATTCCAGTTCTGAATTTTCCATCTAATTACTTTTTGTGCATATATTTATTCCTAAAATTTTTTGAATTTTGCTTGAATGTAGTCGTAGTTCATACCAGCTTAACCAACCTAAAGCTTAAATTAAAACATGACACGTAACTATACCATGTTCTTCAAGCAATCACCTGATATCTTTGGATACTTTGTGTGAGTGACATAACACAAAAATCCAGCTACTGTTGTTCTGTTGTTTCAAAGTATCCGTGTTCATCCTGGTATTTAATGAGATCGTTCCTGTTATAAAATGTTTGAGAGCCAATAATTTGCTTTATGCCAAGTATTTGCCAATTATCTTTTTATTGATGACTAATAAATTGCTCGAAAATCAGTATTTAGAAATTGACTATTTCATACATTGACGGTAATGTGGTCAATGTGTTGAGAGGAATTTTATTCCAGAGGGATTTTTAGGACAGAGTTTAGTGTCTCAACCGTAAACAGCCAATCCTTCTGGAGTGTATGAGTTAAAAACATGTAAACTAAAAGTATGAAAGACCTTTAGACAACCTGGAGGTACATTACTCATGAGTAGTTTAAAAGTTCACAAGAAGGTGTTACATAGAACATCAGTTGTAGATGCTCTCCTTGTGGAAATCAGTCAACAATACACTAAAAAGCCAAACTAAAGTTAACCCAAACAGCTGATTCAGAAAGATTCACTTTAACACATAACAAAGTCCTTTTTTTTTTCATTTGCAACAAAACCTTTAACACCAATAAGCTACTAAATCTCCTTTTGCTAAGTAAAAGGCACTGTTAGTGTTGTGCATCTTTTTCTTTTCTTGAATAGAAGAAAAAAAAATATTTATAGACGTTTTGGTGAAATCACACCTTAACTGAGCTTTACTTACCTGAGGAACAATTAAATTACCCTTTGTGATGAATGAAGTGTTTTTGAATTTGAATTTGAATTGAACTGATGACGATATTCTTGTGTTATGTCACCTCCCATCCAGGTTGATTAGTGTCACTGTCTGCATTCAGCAGGAAATGCTGATCAATTCACCTAATTAGCTGTTTTGGTGGAAAAGACAGCCATCAGGTAAATGCAGGGCAGCAGGTCCCTCTGCTAGCAGAAGAATAAAAACCAGAAGTGATGTGGTATCGAGGCGAATTACCTCTCAGTCGTAATACATGAGTGGTGAATAGATTTGTATGTTGGGCCTGTCTTTGACTTGCTACCAGTGCATTGTATTTCTTTTACTGTCACGGCAGAGATGATCTGCAATAATTAAAACATTTCTTTCATACATGCACACTAATATTAGAAAAACGTTTTTAGTAGCCATCGACATTCTCTTGGCATAACTGTGGTGGAGTGTTTCACCACTTTTCTTGGCAGAATTAGAGTTTATTTAATGTGATTGGTTTCCTGGCACAAAGTCAACACTTCGGGTTTTTTTAACAACACTGAGGTCCTTGTTGAAATGGCTACTCCCTGATCTTAACGTCAGCCTGCTTTGTGCCATCCAATACAGGTTTTTAAGTGTGTTCAGGATCATTTACCCTGTTGGGATACCGCATTATGTCCAAGTTTCAATCTTCTATCTGTTAAATTGAGGTGAAATTCAAGAATTTGAAAGAAGTCCTTCTCTTTCATTTTTCTATGCGTCTCTGGAAGTAAAACCCACACCATGATGATGTCACCCCTCAACACTTTGTACAGTGTTCAAATGTTGGCCATTAGCCTCATACTGACTCATGTGAGCCAGAAATTCTATCACGTGTTTGATAAAATATGAATAATTTGTATTGTACTCGACATTCTCAATTTAAAGAAGATTTCTAATTATCAGTGAAAATCTCCTCCTAAAACTTTTTTTTTTTTTTTAATGCCAATTTACTTTAATCAACTGTGCTGTCCGGCCCAATTTGTACCATTCTTCAGTCGCGGTTCAGAGCAGCACATAATTTTTCAGGCCACACTTTGTGCTCACTTGGACTAGGCTCAAAAGCCAGATCAGTGTCAGGAAACCAACCAATTTAAATAATTTCTGCCACAGGTTAAGTGACCTTCCTGATGCCTACTTGAAGCACATAATGGAGATGCTATGGGATAATATCTGTAACTGTGCATTTGATCCTTTGTGGATTGACATAAACCAAAGCTTGTGAATCTCATTCTTGTTTTTTTTTTTTTTTTTTTTTGATGTTTTTTGTTGTATGGTTATTCCACATAAAGGCTAAGAATGCACTTAGTTTTAAGTTTTCACCAGTTTAATATATAAGTGTGATTTGTTTTCTATTTTATTTTGTAGTAAATGTTCAACTCCACACCTTAGTCTAAGAGAAGTGATACAAATCAAGTCATGCAGAAACAAAAAAAATAATCTCAGCCAACTAATTTAAAATCCTTTTAGTGACGAAGAGAAGAACTGTATACTGTACAGATAGACTTCACATTTTGTTTTTGGTTAAGAGGCGTGGGAACAAATCAGACAGGCCCATTTCAGAGTCCTGGACTATTAAGTATTCAGCAAAAAATTTCTCACGGTGTTTTCCCAAAAGACCCGGAACGCCGTGTCATAGTCGGAAAAAAGAGCATTTGTTGCCACTTTGATCACTCTGATACTGTGGAGCTTTATTCTGTTTAAAGCTCACATCAGCCACTGCTGCTTCTCTTTATTGAACTGCTCGGCCCAGCGGCGGGTCAGTTCCAGATAATGTTCAGGTCCGTGCGGCTGATAGTCCAAGTACACACGGGTCACGGTTTTCTTAGGCATGGCCCTCTCTATCTGCGTCCCTTCGTGCCATTCGTTAAAAGACGTGATGGTGACGATCTCCGGCCTCACGTTGAGTGCCGCCTGCAGAGCCGTCTCGTAGTAGCGGCCGTTCACCCTGTTGCGAGTGTTGTGGTTGTTCCACGGTCGGATGCTGGTGTCGATGTAACCGGGTCCGACGCTGGGGATGAAAAGGAGGTTGTTCCCGTCACAGAAGGCCTTAATGGCCTTCCAGTTCTGGTGGGAGGAGCCAAAGGAGAAGCCATTGGAGGCGAAGTAAGTGTACATGCCGTCGAAGCCACCTGCCAGGATGTCATGCTTGTGACGCTCCTCAACAATCAGAGCGATGAACATGGAGTCATATGGGGAGCCGCGCACACTGTGGGAGCCGGTGGGAGTCAAAAATTCAGACCAGGACTCTGGTGGAGTCAGATAGGAGTCATAGATGTAGAAGAGAGGAAGACTCTTCCCTGTGCTGGAGGTGAACTTGTAGAAGGCCCCATGATCACCGTACCTTCAGAGAAGAGGATTTATTTCAGTAATTTAATTCAAAAAGTCAAACATTACACACAAAGTGATACATTTCAAGCGTTTCTGTTGCAGTTTACAGCGACTAAAAGCCCTATGGTCAGTTAGAATATTACATAGGATTACAAATGATTTTTCTAAATGTCAGCCTACTGTAAAATACGTCGATGTTTTTACTGCACACTCAATGCCAAGTCTGCGCTCTGTTTGCATGAATTACTGCAACAGTGTGGTAAGTCATCAAACTGGCTGTGCTGAGGTTTATTTAATAGTAACCGTCAGTTTGTCAGCATTGTTGGCTCTGCTGTCTCATCTTCCTGTTGAATACTCCATTCTCTGTGGATTTTGGGTAAAGTCATTTTGTGGGCAAATCAAGCAAGATTATGGCCATTTAACTAGATATTGGTACATATGGCATTGTGGAAAGGTGCAAAATCCTTTTACCCATGTATTGATTTCATCTGTTTGAGGTGCTTCTTGAAGCACGTGGAACACGCTTTGTGATTCTCCACAATTTTTGAAAGGGTTTTCCTTCATTCTCCTCAAAAGGCTTTGATTATCCCTCTTTCATGTGCACCTCATCTTTTTCTCACACCTTCTGCTTCCACTCAACTTTCCTACAGTTTGCTTACGTACAGAATTCTGTGAATTGCTAACTTCTTCAGCAATTATCTTTTGAGGCTTGAAGTCAATAAATATCTGCTGAGCAACTTTTCATCAGTTGTCTTCCTCGTGCTGATAAAATGTGGTGAATCTTTGGCTTGCTTTTACTTTAATGCAAAGAGCTATATTGCCAGTTGATAAAAATGTCTGGGGTCATTTGAAACATTAATGTTCGCCATCAATGACAGATTAGTAAAGATTACTTTACAGTTTATTTGCCAGCAAATGAAAGGTGTACATGTTTTACCTGACACATCCTCACCAACTTTGGTCAAATATGTAAGAGTTTGGTTTAAGTTGGAGGCTTTGAATTAAGTGTGTATTTCATGCATACTTTTCTTTATGCCCTCTTTGATACTAAAAGATTGAAAAGAAAACTGCTTTCATATCAAGAACCCATTTATAAGTCATGAACCTGGCCTTATATAATCTAGAAAAGCAACCTAAAAGTCTTTCTATGTTTTGACCCTTGTTCCCTCAGCTATGCATGCAAACCTAATGGATTTCTGTTTGAGTTGGGTCAGTGATGAAGCGCAGCCAGACAAGCGCCTACCTGTCAATTATGTACTTGATGTTGTCGTGCAAAGTCTGGTCATTTCTTCCTCTGTAGGGTTGGATCTGAAATGCGACCTGAAAAAAAAAAAAACACACACACACAAGAGAATACATATTGCGTTTTAACTCGTATCACAGTTCAAACTTTTGTCAATATCTAAGTGATCCTCCCTGAGCTGACAGCTAACCTTTTTGAGCGTAGGCTTAAAAGCAATGTATTACTGAGGTCAAGCAGAAATAACACAGTAAAAGGCTTTTAAAGTCAAATTTTATTGCATGTAATCAGACTTAGAAATCCTTTTACCACTGCTTATTCTTCAAAACAAAGTTACAATTTTGCCCCAAGTTAAAAGAAGCATAAAGAACATTCGCTTCATGTTGCCTTGTAGCATATCATGGCATTTTTGTGACAATGATTCCAAAAAGAAAATAACTATTAACTGAACTCCTGCGCTTTCATGTACCCAACAATGTACTGTATAATATGTTTTTTTTTTATCCTGTGCAGAACCCCCTGTGGAAGCCTCTGAGACACTCCAGTGTTTTAAGAGAAACATCAATTTTCAGTTGACGGCAAAGTAAAAAGCTGCAATATTACAAGAGAACCGGAATGGCGTGTACACAAAAGGTGCTAAAGCTGAATATTTTAAAAGGAGTGAAAACTCAGTGAGTTTGATGATGCATAATTCAGATTGAAACACCACTTTAAAAGCAGTGAAAACCCACAGAGAACAGTGCGAGGAGAAAAATGGCCTTTTAAAATGACAGCAGTGACTAAAGGGATGCCACGAAGGGAGCTCAGTGAGGAAGCCGGGCTCAGCCTTAAGTACCGTGGAGCGTGTTGTACATCATCGGTGTTATATCAGATGTAATCTTTGCTGGATTTTGAAGCACATCACTGTTGTTTGGCACAGTGGGAGTCTGTGTTACAGATATGGAGCGCTTCTGGAAACCACTGTCAACATGACATTCATCATAAGTCTACTAAGAAGCTAAGCGGATGTTTGCACAGTGCCTTACAAAAGTACCTTTCACACAAAAGCCAGTTTCGAAGCCGCTTTACAAAAACAAAAAAAAATATGGAAGGTGTGATGCTTATTTACATTCAGTCTATTTACTCTGACACCCCTAAAGAAAACCCAGTCACTTAATTTGTAGAGTCCACCTGTATTCCATTTAGTCCCAGTATAGATCCATCTGTGAAGAAATATAAAGCATGGTTCGTTTTAAAACACACAAAAGCATCTCATCTAAAAAAGGAAATCATTTGGGCCAACTTGTCAAGACATGGCCGTATTGTGGAAAAAAAAAAAGAAGCAGAATTTGACATAAAGCTAACACTTTCCAGTAAAAAAAATAATAATAATATTAACACAGATAATCAAACATAGCGTAATGGTCCAAGTCCTCATTGCTTCTTTTGAACCTGATATATTTGTGGTCATTATTGGAGCCATGAATTCTGTTAATCCTGAAGGACAATGTCTAGCCATTACTTTGTGACCTTAATCTCAAGTGTATTTAGGTCATGTAGCAAAGCAATGATCCAAAGCACACCAGCAAGTTCCGTCTGAGTGAATCTAAAGGGAACAAACCAAAGGTTGCCTTGAAAAAGTCTGGATGAGATGGGTCAGAATACCCCATAGCCATGTAGAAGACTCTTTGCCAGTTATCCTGCATGCTTGATAGCAGTTTGTTGCTTTCAGGGGCAAATTACTATTTTCAAACTGGGCCAGCTTTGTTTTGATAGCCTTTTTCCTCTTAATGAAAAAGTCATCATTTAAACACTGCATTACTGTCCGTGCTTAACTATTAATATTTGTTTGTTGATCTGACTCGTGTTCGTTTGACACAAGAGAAATCTGCAAGATATTTGCTTCCATAGAAATGTTAACTTACAGAGAGCGTTCAGCCAGCATTAATTAGAGAAGCAGCCAAGAGCACTGGAGTAAAGCTGGAGGAACTGCACTGAACTGAGAATATTGTTCTTCAAAGTATTGACTTATGGAGGAAAATGTACAGAACCAAAATGCATGTCCGAGTTTTCAGACATTTACACTTTGTGTCGGAATATCATATAAAATACGAAACATAGAAATGATATGAAATTTGCTGTTGTACTGTGACAAAAATGGCGTGTCAGTACTTTTGTAGACCCTATGAATGGTCTGTCAGGATTCTGTGGAAGGCTTTATGGGCGACAAAACTGTTGCTTTGATTTCGCTGTAACTGTAGACCTTAGGACGTATAAATCATAGCTTTGAATCTAAGTTTATGAAGCCATAACTTTCTGGACTTTGTGAGCCTTTCGTGTGAACCTCTTCTGAGAAGCTGAGGATATAAAGCCACATGATTATCACCCAAAGGGGAGACACAAATCTGTTTCTCTGCAGCTCAGAGTAGACCCGCCACAGTACTAATTTCCCCAAATACTGCCCAATAAATCTCCTGTAAATTTTAAGTAAATGAGTTCAAGCATTATTATACTTCATAAACACTGACAGCACGACCCTGGAACAACGACAGCCTGATTTATGCTGAGCAGGGAGGAACTTAATGCCATCTCATGCAGAGAGCACAAAGGGAGGGATTAGGACAAACACAAACACAAAGCTCCAGATCTTTGCAATAATTAGATGAATTTCAACTACGCTTAGGACATTTCTGTAATTGAGAGTGCCACTTTCTTTTGTGGTCACACCCCGTGGACAGACAACAACCACAAAGGGTCACACAAGAAAAAAAAATGCTGTCATCCAGAGATAGAAATAAAACAGTCTGTCTGATCACAGAGCACCCATGGGCCGTATTCCCCTGTGCACTTGACATGGCCTACTTACGAGACAGAACTTTTCCAGCCCCTCAGGGTGCAGATTGTTCAGAGGCACAAACTGACTCATGGGACCTTTGATGCTCACTTCCCCTCTGCTCGTTTCCTCCCCGCACCCAGCTCCCAGGACACCCCACCACCGCAAACCCTGTCCCCACCAAACCACCCCCATGCACTCCCTTGGGCAGAGGGACTATTTCAGCACCGGTTCAAGCTGAGGTCGAGAATCAGCAGCAGCGGCGGCGGTTGTGCTTTTGAGCTTTCCAACTCTGCTGTGCACAACACGCAAGCTGTGTGTGGGAGCTGCCGAAAATACCTTTCACCTTATATAATGAAAACTCCATTGGTTTCTTTTGTAACATTACCTAAAGATAGGTGAAGGTATTTTTTTTTCTTTTTAGGTGTGTAGTGTGGGATTGCTGGAATGATTGATGTCGGGTGTACAGAAGTTTTTCTTTTTCTTTTTTTTCCCAGCAAGATTTTATTACAAGCCAGAGAGCAATGCAAAGTTGTCCCTTCAAGTCGTCAGTGCCCGGCCATTTGTCGATATTTAGTTTCAAATAGAAGTTTACATCCACTCGTCATCTGCATTAATATCCTATCCTAAGATTTATTTTAGATGTTCTTCTGGAAGGTGGAATGAATATACATGATTTTTTTTTTTAAAGTATTAGGTGCATATGTTTTAATTTATCTTTAGATTTGATTTTCTCTGCTCTATAAATCAAAACATTCATCCTGAAACTTATGAAGTGTTGCATTTGTCCTCCTCACTTGTCTTTTTTTTTCTTTGAGCCCAGAAAAAAAGGTTCAGTCCAGCATTCTGCACTTTGCACTCTGAAAATCTAAGACTGCACAAAAGGAAGCAGTCCTAAAATAAATGTTGCTCTCTGCAGAAAGAGTGAAAGAAGCTTGGTAGGAGGATGCTTAGAAAAACTGCACTAAGATTTTTTATTTTTTATTTTTATTCACAGGCTCAGGAGAAGAAATCTCCTAATTCAATAATGATGCTGACATGTTGAAGAATGAAAATGCTTTGCAGCATGTCACTTACTGTTTTCCACATGCATTCAGTGAAAATGCCACACTGACCAGAGCAGAGCTGACAGCAAACCGTGGTGATAAACCCTATCTGTTAGCTTTGTTCCTGACAGCATTATGTGTGAAACCCTCACAAGCCCACTGTTGCATGTCTATTCTGGTAGTTCTTGTCTTGTCTCTCCGGAGATACTTTATTTATTTGCCTCCAGCCAGATAACTGAAGACATAAATGTGATATAAAATCTGACAGTCTAGCCTGAGCCCATTGCTTCTCTCTAGAGCTCTTCACAGAGAGGACTCTTATTTGTGCTGGAAAATGAACTATCAGGGTGTTCATGTAAGGACGTGAACTCTGTCATTTTCATGGATTGCATCACCGTCATGCATCTTCATAATTACGTCACCATGTTGTAAAAACTATTTGTTTTTTGATATTCAAGTAGTAAAGATTTTCTTCATGACAAGACTATTTTGACAGTGGTCTAAAAGGGATACATTTGCAATCAAAGATCATCACATTAAGGAAGTCTGCAAATGCACACTTCCTTGCAAAGTGTCTGTACCTTTTTATATCACATCCTGCAATGTTTAAACTATAGGCTTTGTTAGATTTTTTTTTATATTACAACAGCACAGTCTCTCTTTTCCCTCCATGAATCTGCTCTCAAAGATTTCCTTACATTAACTTTGTACCCCTACACATCAATGTTTATCTGTGAATATTCAATACTCTAACCAAAAGCAGGCAGCTAAAATAGAGCAGGACTATTTCATTTTTTTCTGACATCTGAAAATAAAGGTGGTAATGTTTGATTGTGCCTATGTGTCTTTCTATTTAGTCCACGTAAAGGTCTTGTTTCAACTTTATTTTTCTGGGATACATAAGTCAAATAGCTGGATGACATAAAAAAAAAATGTCATAAAAACAACATCTTTATGTGTAAGTTCAGGAGGGAGGACATCAGAGTAAAACAGCTCCAGCCTTTCAGGAATCGTTGACGTCTAATAATGTTCTTAGCGTCACTTTGAAGTACGAGAAACTCTTTCCTGCATCAATTTGAATATGGCATTTCAAATCTTATGTAAGAATTTCTGTGCGATTGAAAACAACTCCCACCCTCATTTTCACAGCTCTACCAACTGGAGTTTATCACCTACAGCTCCACTCAGATACAGTTTGCAGCTGTTCACAGGTTGCTAATGGTTCATAAACCTGGTTTCCAATTATGAGTCTTCACATTTGGCGTACTGCGTGTGGGAACAAATACATTAGTTTATTTGTCAGAGACAGTGCGCATTATTAACGAGTACAGTATTTTAAAATGACAGGAAGGTAGGAATGACATGCTTTCATCTATGTCCATATCAATTACTAATATAAAAATAAAGTGCAATAATTAGAAACATACTTTAAAAGTTCATTTGTTTGCTTTTATTTTTTCCTCCTGTTCTTGTGCTAACAAACTGATGAAGTGAAGGAGAAGGAAAAGCAGTTATATGACTACCATTTTAATATTTGATCAAGTCCAGCAAAACATTATCTTGTACATTATATATTATCTGAACCAGTGCTTCATTGTTCTTACTACCAGTGTAGTTTTTCTAGAAACTAATTAGTTTTATCTTTAAAAATGACATTTTTGCATCAGCGTTACCATATTTTCTAACAGATTTGGGGTTCATCGTTTCTGTGTCAGAGGTAAAGAGCAAATTAAAACGTGAACAGAAGCAGAAATAGGCTTATTTTTGCTGTTCAGTGGGGATCCGCATGGTTAAAGGTTAAGCCTGATGGAAAACCTTCAGCTGCATTAATGATGAAATATGACCTTGTCCACCAGCAGGTGTCGACTTTAAATAGCACAGTCAATAGAGAAATTAAACCTTCACTCTTGCAATAACAAATATGATATACACAGTGAAAAATATAGAAGAATGCCATGTTTTACAGCACATTGCTCCTCTCAGAGCTTTTCTTCCACCAGTTTTCAGCACTTTTTCCGCTCTCACAAAATGTGCTGATGCACTTTACCTTCAGGCTGTGTCTGTATGCAGCATCCAGCACAGCTGGCACCAAATCCTCAGCGGGTTCCCCGTTGTCGTCAGCGAGGCCGGGAGGATACCAAGACAGCACCAGAACCCCTGGAAACACGGAGATGATTCAGGCTGGAAATCTGTCTCTGCTTCCGTCTTCATGTTTTCATCCTGCTCATCAAGTAGTCATGGTATTTATATTTACTCATCTGCGTTTCTCATCTAAGCCTGTCATGTCGTGTTTAGGAGGAAATCTCTCAGCACACTTAGGCGCTTTGACAGCTCATGCATTTAAAAGCAGAAAGCAGAAACCTCCATTGATGCTGGCAGAAAAAGGGACTTAGCAGAGCCTTGCAAAAGTATTCATCGCTCTTCAAATTTTCCAGATTTTTTTTCCATGTACAGCCATATCACACTCATATTCGATGACTTAAAATATTACTGAAAAGATCCTTTATGTTCCTTTGCTTCATTCACTCAGTGAAACACATTAATTAAACAGATCAGATCAAGAAGAATAGAAATCAGAGAGAAGCAGCAAAGAGGCTGAATGGTAACTCTGGAGGAGCTGCAGAGAACCTCAGCTCAGGTTGGAGAATCTTGCTGAGCAACTATTAGTCATGAAAAAATATATATGGAAGAAAACCATAGTCAAAAGAGAAAGTATTCTTAATCATTTTAGAAAAAACACAACAATGCACATCAATCTGCAAAAAAAGGTGGCAAAAAAAAGAAAAGTTTTGTGTCACTATGGCCTATAAATGCCCCAATACAATACAAATTGAAGTTCTAATATGAAAAATGGAAGGTACTTTATAGCTACTACATTGGTCACTGGCATTAAACAGGAACTGGCACATGAGGCATTCAAATAAAAATCCATTAAAATGATTACAGTACAACACTCTCTCATATGTATGTGTATAAACAATGTGGCTATTTCTATTCATTTTCACTGTCGACATTGATGTGGCAGAATATCATTTATCAGCTCAAGCGGAAGTGTTAATAGTTTGACTTGTTATGTTTCTAATTAATTGGGCTGTTTTAACTAAGCATTAGCAGCCAGCCCTCCACTGGTCCATCTGTTAAAGTGATGAGCTTTCAGAGGATTGCATGGCGGGCTCATCAGTCCGGATGGTGTACAATAACCCAGTGAGCTGCGGGACAGAAACATCGGGGCCTGTCACGTGTCGTCTAACACACGAGTCTGTTACTTGACACCCTGCAGCAGACCTCAGATGTCTTTTGGAGTCGCAGGAGCTTTTGGAAAGGCAACAGCATGTACGCATTTATAATTTATGACACTTTTCAAGAAGTACTTGAAGTTCACAACACTGGAGACACTGGATCTGGCTGATAATTTAATACTTTGTATCATTTTACTGCTGATGGAGTCTTTTTATTTTACTTTTTCAAGCAAGGCTGTTTACAGTGCCTTGTAAAAACATGTAGGGTTTGGACTTCACATTTTGGCACTGTGCAACCACAAACTTCAAGACGTTTTACTGGGATTTATTGTGACAGACAAAAATATACAATGTTGTGATGTTGAAAAAAATGATCCAAGTGTTCTTCTTTGTGTTTAGAGCTTCATATCTTTTAGGGTTTGTCTCATTGTATCTCTGGTTGTTAGTTTAAAATGGTTCCCCTGTTTGAAGATGAATTTCTGCCTTATCATTTTTGAAGTCTGCAGAATATCCCTGTTTTTTTTTTATTTTTTTATTTTTTTTATCTTCTCACCAACTCTGACTGCTTTGCTCTGCTGAAGAAAAGCCTCCTACCACCTTGCTGGAGTCAAACTGTTATGAGATTTCAAAAGTATGATGAGACTTGGTCTTATCTGATTGGGTCAGAGGAAAAAAACGGAGCTGCAGCATTTTGTTCCAGCTGTGAGCGATTTGAGATTTTCAAAGTTTGGCCATTAGTTTTATAACCAAACCCTCATTTATATCTGACCTTTCTGGTCTCTTTTATGTTCCTTGTAATCATGTTGACTCCTTAATGTTTTCTACCAAACCTCTGACGTCTTTATAGAATCTGAAGTCTGTATCTATTTATGATGATAACTACTCACAGATATATCCAATTTACTGTCAGGTATGTCTAAAAAATAAAATCCCAATAAAATACACTGAGGTTTTTGGATTGTAACATGGCGAAAATAGTGAAGCAGTAAAGACGTGAACACTTTTGCTCTTTATTGTAAATGCATGAGAGCAATAAGCGCAGGAACAGATCGACTGAGAGTTTGCGGAGCTGTCCGGTCTGTTTGTGGTGCTGAAACTGTTCAGCGTTCTATCAGATTTGTAAAGAGAAACTCCAAAACAAACCAGGGAGCATCACGGAGCTGCATACCTGCCGCGGAGGCTCCGATCTGCTCCATGTGGGACTCCAACACGTCCGGATCCCGGGAGCTGTACGAATTCAGCTCCGGGTAGAAACTGGAGGCGATGTCCTCGGGCGGCATGTGTTTTCCTCTCGGGTAGCTGGATGCGACCTTGGGGTCCCAGTGGGGGACCAGGATGTGGTCCCAGTGGATGTATTTCCCGTCCATATGAGGGCTGCCGTACCAAGTGTAGTAAAAGATGTGAACATCGTAGAATATTGTCCCCTCTGGACCGGAGTTGGACAGAACCGGTTTTGTGTTTCCCCCTTGCGGGCGGGCTTGGACTGGGGACGCGGTGGCTTCCCGGGACATCCTCCCTCCTAAGATCGGCAGGAGCTCCAAGCCAGGAGCCAGATCCGAGAATCCGTCAGTAGGCTTCAGGGTCCTCAGTCCCATCAGAGATCCGAAAATGAAGAGGGTGAAAAGAAACAGGGCAACGCAAGCCTTCCTCCGCAGCCGTGCCATCGTCGGTAAGGGTTGCATGGGATGAAAACGGCGCGAATAAACCAGTTTCCAGATGAAGCACAACTAAGATTCTGCAAACAACTCTCTGTGAGTGTCCCGACAGGATTTCAGCTGAACTATGCATGGCTGCAGTCCGATCGCAGCCGACAGCCTGGCGCATTTGTTTGGGAGGTATTTAACTTTATTTTGCTCCCCTCGTCTCTCATTTTGCTAATCTGCATCAGAAACGTAAGAATAATAACGAGAAGACTAAATCGACCTTCAAAAACAGACAGCGCTCATGCTTCCTCTGGCTCTGAGCGCCAGCAGCAGCGGTTCGGTTCGCCTAACATCCAACACATGACCGGTGTCCCACAGCAGCAGTGATGCTCCACAGTGTCGGCGTTTGAAAGCCTCTGTGGTTGGCTGCTTTTTGTTTACAGTTTCTATTTTGGACGCCAAAGGGGCGGGGCCTGGCTCGTCATACTTTTTTTAATCCTGAGCCTCCTACATGCCGCACGCCCAGGACATCGCATCAGCATTCAAAGACGAGAAGGAAACAAAACAGGAGAGCATAAAGGTTTAAAAGTATATGTAGTTGTTGGCAAAAGTGGATTTTTGTGTCACACTTTTTTTTTTTTTTGTAAAATTAAATAAGTTTTACAGTGTTAAAACTTTAGGCATTTCCTCATACTGTCATCTAGTGGTAATTTCATGGAACAGGCGCCCCTATTAGGGTACCCCATGTACCACTTTAGGGTACTGGGGGTACCCTAACGTGTTTAAATGTATTAGTCATTGTTATAAAAAAATAATAATAATAAGCAGAGATGGAATATGCTTATTTAAGTCATATGCAAATTAGCAGCTCGGTAGCATTTTAAAAGAAGCCTTTTTCCTCATCTTTTCATTGGATAATCACCTAAACTGTGAAAGTAATATTACAATATTGTCATGATAATTATGGTAGATGTGTGATGGAGAATGGATAATGTAAAGATGATATTTGTTTTTGTATTCTGCTGGGATATTTGGTGATTGAAAGTAGTTGGAAGGATCCCAAAATGAATGTAATTTAGGGCGCATTCAGTAATGGACTGGATCTATTGTGTGTGTATGTGTGTGTGTGTGTGTGTGTGTGTGTGTGGGAGAGAGAGAGAGAGAGAGAGAGAGAGAGAGAGAGAGAGAGAGTTTGTTTTGTTCAAAAGCAGATTTTTTTTTTTCCTGACTGAGACGACAGATTTTTTATTCAAATGAAAACGTTCCCGGAGAGGTATTGCATAGGTAACAGCAAGGCTTAAGAGTGTATAAAGTGATGTAACAAAGTGGTTCCTTTCTGTCTGCTGGCTCAGATTCAGCTGTGTCGTCCAGAAAGCCTTGGATCGTGGCCAAGACATTAGACAGCACTTTAGAGGAACTGACCCCCACAGTACGTCAGCCTACAACGGGCTGACATACTGATATGCTATTAAATCATTTTTTCTTATCCAATAAGTGCTTTAGAATAAATAAAACCTCTGTGGAGGCTTTAATTTGTCACTGAATCCATCATTTAATTTCACTGGTTTCTCAGACAATAAGAAATAAAAATGTTGTAGTTAGAAATGATGGCACATGGGCATATAAAGTCATTTCCAAAGTATAGTTGTGTATAATTATTGCTCATGTTGTTGAAACGGTTAGGAAACAAATAGGATGTTTGAGCTTTTGGGTTACTAATAACAAAAGGTGCCTAGAAGAAAGTTGTTGAAAGAAATCAATTACAAATCTGATTCGAATCTGCTAGAATCGATGTAGAGGACTTGGTAATCATACGAAACAAGATGCTTTGGAGAGATTATTCAAAAAATGAACTTTCTGCCCTGTGTGAGCAAAAATTAGCACTTGACAACACACTAAACATACCGCCCCTATGACAAAGCTCAGTAAATGGCAAATACTGGAAGAAAACTTGTTAGAGGTTGCAAGACTTGAATCTCATGAGGAGGAGGCTCACCTTCCAGTGGGACAACCAGCAGCAGTTTTTTATACAGGCAGTATGGTTCTTCACCCAGAGCACAACTGCATTAGGGGCAGAACAAACAGTCAAAGAAATAAAAAAGAAAAGAAAAAAGAAAAGGGTAACACTGAACAAATTTTTATATACTTACTGACAGATCATTCAAAGAGGACATGTGTTTTGTACAGTGTAAACACTGTAAGCTAAAGATGAAGTTGGGATCTGAATCATACTGAACTAAAGGAGGCTTTCACAGTTTTTTTTTTTTTTTACAATTCAGGATTCAGTGTGATTACTCAGTCAAAATCTACAACATGGTTTGGGATGGACAAATTCCTTTAATCTTCTTGTGAAAACACAAAGAAAAATATTCTCAATTTTACCATTGAGACAAACACAAAAGTTGCACTTTTTATACCACTCAAACCTGGTTTGAGGTTTTCCTCACTGATCTTCAACCCTACTTAACCGTCTCAAAAACAAGTTTAAATAATTAAATTTCTTGTCAAATTCTTGGTACCAGAATAATGATTTCATTCAAGCAAGAATGGCAAGAGGAAAACCATGAGCATACAGATTTGCACGGAATGGATTAGATCAAAGCAGATTCATATTTTATAATGTCAAAAGTTGTAGGTAATCAGTTAAAATGAAGCAAAGACTGGTAATACATTTAGTTTATGAACTTCAATGTTACTGGAGTTATGGAGAGTTCTTTGAAGTTGTTTTGGGTAGCATAACTTATGGCAAAAATAATAATTTCCTGAATCTTAAAATGCTGTGGAGGTAGTTGGACTATGTGGATTTATTCACTTCTTTTAACTGATGGCTGATAAACAAGCCTTTGTTGAACAGCAAACATCTGAGTCAGGTGTATTAAAGCAGGGAAGCAGCTAAAAGATGCAGGACGGTCCACCTGGAAGACCAGGTTTGGGAAACACTACATTAGTGCATCATGAAAACGATTTTTTTTGTTCCAAATAACCAAATTAGATTTTACAAAAAGATGTCAATTTGAAAGACAAATCTGTGTGATTATTCGACCCCAAATGCTGTATTGCAAATAGTTAGAGATTATTTAAGCTATTTTGCTATGCTCAGGATGGATCCATTGCTTAAAGCCAAATTTTGCCACACTTTTTCCTTCCACTCAACTTTCAAATAATAAAACTGCCAGCTCCTAGAGGATGTCTGCTGGGTAACTGCCAAGTCAGCAATCTTCCACATTGTTATGTAGATTATTAAATGACAAATGTCCTCTTTTATTTAATCTTGAGTAAAATTCTAATTGTCTGGTAAACAGAACTGTGGGTTTTCATCAGCTGTAAACCATCTTCATTCAGAGTGAAACGATTACTTTCTGTGTAATAAGCATGTTGTTTTTTTCCTCACTGAATTTAATTGAAATAAGATTTCAGATAATATTTTCTCCATGTGTCTTTTTTTTCACCGCTCAACGTGAAAACAGTGAAAACAAGTAATGTATATTCCAACTGATTTTCTGTTGTTCTGTCATCGCTTTAGTGTTATTGTCATTTTCTGTGTAAGTCAATTATGTAACATTTAAGGGTTTTTCGGATCCACAAGGGGTCGTTGTGGTCGCATTGATAAAACTTCACTCACATATTGTTCAGTCTATTTGTGATAACAACTTGACATTTTTAGATGTATTTAACGCATGTGACATTTCTATTGGTATCCTAACAACGTAGTAATTCAAAGAAATCCCGGGTGCAGGGAATGTTTCCTTTAACTTTTGTTACAAACAAGATTAAATAAAAAAAGAGAAAAAGAAAACTATACTAGAGAATTATTTTTTGCCTTCTTTTCCATTTCTTTGTTCAAAGTATGTATGCAATTTGAACGAATTTCGTTTGATAATCTGCACTGTTTTATTTTGAAGTTCTTTTTTTTTTTGACATCCTCGTTCTTTAACGCGTCTATTGCTCCACAAAAGACGCGAGTCAACGTTTCAAGCTGATGTGATCAATCACTATTGATCCATGAATTCGTTTGCTTGTTTTAATCAGCACCGTGATGATTTTATAAAAGTTTTTTTTTTCTTCTTCTTCTTTTTGATCTGGAAAGGAACAACAAGGATTTACTTCATAAATGCCATACTTGGGCACTTTTTTAAAATCAGCATATTTTAAATTCAAAGCAATCAAATTAAGTTTAATTAATGACAGTAAATTCAAAAATTCAATAATAATAATAATAATAATAATAATAATAATAATAATAATAATAATAATACCTTGTCTTCCATTGGCATTTTACCTAATTTTCTGGCTTTTGTACTACAGTGAATTAGATATGAGTTAAATAATAATACTACTAAAATGAATAAATAATGTTCGATTTTCAGTTTCAGACGAATCGAATGAAACGTGACAATAATAATATTACAAGATATTTTTTCAGAATCTCACCTCATGATCCATAGTCATTTTACCAGATTGCCATTTTTGTTGCAAACAGGATAAAATAAAACAATACAAATACTGAGAAAGTATTTTTGAACTAAATTGCATGTTAAATTTCAGACCTTTTTGCACATGAGGACACTTTAAGAGCAAAATAATGCAGATTCAGCATGTGTGGACCAACTGATGCTGCAGTTTGCCACAGCCACCCCACTGCTGCAGAAGTCCAGCTCTGAATGGAACATCAATTTATTCATTTTGTGTTGATTGGTCCTTCCATCACACAATGCATATGCATCCTTGGGGACTGTAATCGTGAATCACGTGGACATGACCGAGAGAGTGCGTGGGGGGTTTGTCGGATAAGAAATTGTCATTTGTATTGACCAACAGTGCTGACCACTGCAGGGGAGCTAAAAGCAGCGATCCAGGAGAGAACAGCAGTGGGAACTGGGACCGAACTGGCCCACAGGCATGGCAGAAGGTAAGCTTGAACGTCGGGATGCTTTTTGCAGAGTTTTATCTTTAAAGCGTGCTCGGAGTTGCCTTATGGAGGGGCAGGGTTTGGTTGCATTGTTTGGAATGTTATTGGGGTGTGAGGTAGTGGAAGTGGTGGTGGTGGTGGAGATTCTTCAGCAAAAATTCTCCCCCTCCCCACTTCTCATTGTTGAGCAAAGGAGGGGGGGATAGGTTGCCAGCCCCCTTTTGTTTACCTCCCTTCTCCCGCTTTCCCTCTCGCTGCGCAGCTTCTGCTTTTCGCAGCATTTTGCATGAAAGTGGCAATCTGTGCGGATTACCCAGGTTGAGGGCTACAAATTAAAAAAAAAAAAAAGAAAGAGAATATTGTATCTTGGGTGCTGATTTTTGACTCAAGGCTGAGGCAGAAGACATGGGTTCCGTTTCTAACCAGGAGTTCCCAGGTGGAGTAAACTTCATGAGCAGCACGTTAATGTTCCGAGTTAATTAAGCTGTTTTCGGATCGACTGTCTCACTGATTGTGAAGGAGCGTTGTAAGCCATTGTTCGCACACGTGACGAGCAATGCACTCAAATTCGACTCTTTAAATAGTTGCATTTTCTGAAAGTTTTGCGCACATTTGAATGAAAGTTTTACGCATATTTAAAAAAGAAAGTTTTGCGCATGTTTCTTGAACAATGTTGTGCAACTGCTGGCGTTTAAATCGAAAATATATACTGAAGCCTCAGCACGGCGTGCTCAGTCATTGATTCATATCGATTACTGATCCGCAGAAATTAACATTTTTAAATTTTTACAAATTTGCGTTTTGTTGGTTAAAGGGGGGGGGGTTTTTTTTTTTTTTTTTTTTTTTGTAATCCTTATTGTGAACAAATGTTGAATTTGCAGGAGTGTGCAAGACGGAGGTAGATGAGGGACCGAGCACAGAGGAAGACACGCAGTCCTTCCACGGCTCCGGGGTGTGCAAGTGGTTCAACGTCCGCATGGGCTTCGGGTTCCTGTCCATGACCAACAGAGAGGGAGTGCCGCTGGACGAACCGGTTGATGTGTTTGTCCATCAGGTAGGTCTGGCCGCTCTTCCTGCAGAATCCCAACAAAAAAGTTCCAGACTCCTCTTTTCTTTTCCTCTGATCATTTTTAGCCCACTGATCATCCGTTTTTTCTCACTCGTTACTCGTTTCTAATCGAACACAATTAGTTTAAGTGTCTTAATCTTTTGTTCTTTTACTTCTTGCAGCAATTGATTAGAGTTTTGAAAAGAGACAAGTTTAGATGCATAAATTGTAAAACTGACTCAGCTTTGCAGTCTAAGGTAGAACGAAAAGACTAATTCACTTGACTTAGATGGATGTTTGCTGTAAGGTTTTCTTTTGAAAAAAAAACAACGTTTTGTAATATTAGGATATCTCTTGGCTTTCTTTATAAAACTTTTTATAACAGGAAATAAAAAAACACACACACGGTGGAATCACAAGAGGCACAGGGGCGGATTTAACAGGATGTGGGTTTCTGTGCTGTAGTGTTGGTGCCCTACTGACACAAGTTTCAGTTCAGGTGATTTGCACAGATCCTAATAACGACAAATGTCAATTTACAAGATTAGCAGATCCACTTTATATCCATGAATATATTTGGAAATTAGTCCAGCTGTTAGGCTGACAGATGGGAATTGATGTATGTGCAAAACTCTTTGTGAACTTTTTCACTGAATTGGTCCCAATGTTGGTGCTAGAGTCGGCTCCTAACTGATTCTTTAAAAAAAAAAAAAATGGTTTGCTTTTTTCTACAACCCATTATCTGAGTCAGAGCCTCATCTCATCTCCCTCTATTTTATGTTTTATTTAAATTTTTATGGAGGATGGTAGAGCAGAAAGTTTGACTACACAAAACAGATTATTAATTCCTGTAAGTTGTTGACCCCTTATTGCTGCTATAATTTTATTTTCACCGTTTCTTTTTTAAACAAAAAAAGGGTTGCTCGTGAACACAATCCTAACCAATGGATCACCAGTACCAGCAGCATTAAAAAAATGGGAAAAGAGCAATATTTACAGCATGCTTTACATAACACAGTGTTAAAGAAACTAGTCGGTAATGGCATTTATCAAATCAATGGAAAACATCAGCTTGATGCAGGTCAGAAGTCTACTTTAGCTCTGTGATGGGTGATATAAAAATAAACAGTGGTAAGATTGATTTCCTTGGGATGATGTATTGTGACTTGGTTCTATATAAATAAACTGAACTGAAACTGCTTGTGTTTCTCCAATTTAACATTTTTCTGAATAATGATGCTTAGTATTGTTTTTAATTGGATCAATGTCAAAACAAACCCCTGAACAGTGATTTCTGATTGGCTGCTGGTCTCCCTGAGTCTTGATCTAGCTTCTGATGAAAGAGGTTCTTCTGTCCCGACTCAGACTTGGTATTGTAAAAGATCACGTATTTGTGTTAGTTTATCAGGAACAGAAGGAAATGATGCCAAGCAAGAATCAAACATCAGCTTAGCAGCAAAACCAGTTTGGTGGAGAAGTAGAATTGTGCACAGCACTAAGCGCACCATTCCGAACGAGAAACAGGATGGTAGCGGCATTATGCTGTGGAGATGCTTTTGTTCAGCGTGGACAGGGAAGCCAGTTTAGGTTGATGAGAAGGTGGTTTTAGAGAAAAGCTGGAAAATCTTGAAAGAAAACCTGCTAGAGGCTGCAAAATATTGAGGACAACAACAGCTGTAATAGAACGGTTTATATCAAAGTGTGTGTGTTAGAATGGTTTGATCAGATTCCTATTTGATCTTCATTATAATACAGTACAGTCAACGTCAGTTAATCATATAATGTCAGGCTAAGTAAGCTGGGCCGATTGCATCGAGACTTTGCAGAAACAGAGCAAGAGTGGAAATTAATGGTATTAAACAGAGGAAACCCTCTGGCTCATTATTATCATCATCCATCTGCTGCTACTGGGTTGTGGAAGAGACTGAACACACATTAGGCAGGGACACTGGTTCAGAGTTACTTTTTATCTTTTTCTTTAGATGTATTTTACTCATGCAAAGTACAGTAGGTTGACAGTTAGGTGCACATAATCATCAAGGTTTTAAATTGTCCACAATTTATTTTTAGTCATTGTATGTCTTGTTTTTAGACAGTTCACTACAAGTATGGCATCATTTCCAGAAAAGTCAGGAAACATCATCTAAAAATGTGCAACTGGCCTTGTCAGGCCTATATGTGGCAATGTGATGAATTCACCAAAATACACTAAAAACAAAGGAAGACACTTCAGGTGAATTCCAATTTTCAAACCCAGATTTTGTTATTTTTTTCTAACAGTACTACAATTGCATATGTATGTAGTTTAGCATTGCTAATCGGAGGTTATTTTACAAAGATAAAAGATTATGCAAAGGCTAATTTAATTGCATAATCTGAAACCCTCATTTCCATTTTCTGATAGCTGTTTGGGTTACCTTTTGGTAAAAATATGAGAAATTATGACCCATCTGTCCTGCTGGTAGATTTAGTTTATCTTTAGTAGATTAGGAGTAAAATTTAAAAATGAATTAAATCATTGGTTGTAAAAGTACATTGTTGATCGGGGGGCGGGGGAACAAAACAAAATAAAACTCCTGAGGCTCCAATTTGTACAACAAAAAGTCAGCTACCTCACAGCCAGAGGGATGAAATGTCCATCATGAAGATGTGTCTGAGGTAAAAGGTTTTAGTTTGTGAGATACCTGTTTTCAAATAGTTGCATATTAATTATTGGCAGAAAAATCTAACAACTGAAACCACATGGACACTTCTGGAATACTGTCAACATATCATGCACTTATTTAAAATGATATTTTTTGAGGTTCCCAAAACTTCAAGTACTTTCCCACTAAGCCCTTGCTTAAGTCTGGCCTGGCTTACACACCTTAACAGGCTTACAACAAGGCTACTAAGCTGCACAGAAATGTGTGCACATATTTATGACAATGAAAACTAAATAATCTTTTTTTTTTTTTTAATATCATTTAAGACGGTGCCTTTCTTCTGAATTGAATAACGGCTTGCCGATTAGACTTGTGATCCATGAAAACACCTTAAATAAACTGTTAAATATCACTGCTTTTCATGTTTATGCCCTTTTCTCTCTGACTTGATCATAAAAGTTAAGACGGCTACTTTAAACTTTCCCAGCAACAAGTTTCTGCCTTGGTCTCATCTGTGAGAGAGCGCCTCCACTTCTGTCTGATAAGACGACGTTTAGCATGTGAATGAGAGGAATCCCTACGAGCTGCTCAATCACCTCAGAGTTCCTGTCATAAAATGATTAAAGGCTCTCTGCTGTCTGGTCAGCCCTTCCACCCTCCTCCCTGTGCCTGTGTGTGTGTTGGCAGTATAGAGGTACACTACAATTTATTGCTAAACCCTTCTTTGAAAAGGACTATTTTTAGGTGCCTTGTCTTGTTTATGCAACAACAGTCTATCTTGGGCTGTGAAAACATTGGACCCACTTGCATGAAGTTTCCATGATTTCACATGCAGCCCCTGTTTCTGTCTTTCTACCATCTGGCCATGATGGCGCTTACAGAGTTATAATTGTGAGGGGGTTTTTTTTGTTTTTTTTATTGTGAAAGCTGCAGGAAGCTGGGCATTTCATTACTCATTCTCTTAAACAACAGACGATAGAAACCTGCAGTTTAGATCTCCAGTAGTTAGAGAGTTGAAGCCATTTGAAGTTTTATTAATGTTATTCTGCAAAGTTCTCCGTTGTCAGCATCCAATCCTTTATCAATTTCCATTGATAAGCTTTGGTATTACTTTAATCTACTAACCCTTCAGAGACTGATACAAGAATTAATAGCACAAACATTCAACCTTTTAAAAGCCAAACATTTTATATTGGATTGTTTTAAATGAAACAATAACTGGACTATTTTTTTTTTTATTGTATCATAATTGATACATTCGGCATTTTGTTATTATTATGTACTGTGTCCTCCTCAACCAAAAAGACACGGATTGCATGTTTTTAATAGCATAAACCTAATACAAAAACAATTGATGCACTGGCCCCTACTCCCTTCTAAAGAACTTATCATTTTTATTATACCACATTATGAAAGACTATTTTACTGATAATCCATTTTTGAAATATCTTATTTCCTTGTAAGCATTTGAAAGGGCCTTTAACTCCACAAAAACTTCTTCTTAGAAGGTGTCCGTGTCCATTATTGATTTAAATCTTCTACCTGAGGGAAGAAGACAAAAGTAGGACGTAACAAAGCAATTTTTTGAAAGCAGTAGCAACTTTCTTCAAGAAGGCAGAGTTCGCAGAAATATGTGCATCAAAAATCATGCATTTGGTCTAATGGAGTAAAACCTCACATTCTGAATGGCAAGATTGAAAGAAATTAGATATTTAAAGTGGAATTAAATTATTTCTCTGCAAACTTTACTCAGGTTGTTTTATATATTTTTTAGTGGTATCACATCTCAGATCAGCTTTAACTTACTGGCTTTTATAATGGTGACCTTGTATTTCTATTGACAATATAATTTTTCAAATTAGCTTGTTAAAAGCAGGGTATAAAAAAAAAAATAAGAAAACACAGTCTTGAAATCTTCTAACAAAACCGCTTTTCCAGTAACTGATTTCAGTGTATTATGATTGATCCATTAAGCTTTTCTCATTGTGTATTTATCCCATTTTCCGTAAGCAAATGAATCTACAAGCACCTGATTCACTACACTGACCTTTAAAATTATCACAAGTAATACACAGACTTTCATCACAGTTTTCTTTAAAATATCTATTGTTGTTTGAGTTAAGTCACATCTGGCTATCTTGGACTTTGGTCCTCAATAAGAGGCTACAAGATGAGAATAGCATGTGATACAGCAGGAAAGGCAAAGTACAAACATTTTAAAGAGGCAGAAGCCTCAGTAATGTGCATTCAAAAATTATATGTTGGGTGTTATAATAAGCCATAAATAAAAACAACCTGCTGAGTAAAACGTAGGCTTGTGAGTTGCATCGATCGAAAAAGTAGTAATGTTTACTTTTTTTCATTAGAGAAAATTGATGCAGAGAATCTGACGAAAAGTAAAGCCATGCATCCTAAAATTAGTGGCCACGCGTCGAGGAAAAATTAAGTCCCACGGTTCGCTGGCCTTTGTGCCGGTGGACAATAGAGCCATGCATCCGAATCAAGCACCCCTCAGCCGTGCCCCGAGCCTCTCTTTGTCCCAGCAGAAGTCTTTCTATTGTCCCTCTCCACTCTGATGTCTTTCTTTGCCTTGCTTCGCTTCCAGACATATTCTAATGTAGTTTACTCTAGACCCCACAAATAGCACCTCCACATCAGGTCCTTGAAGGATAAAGAGAAGAAAAGAAACCCCCCATCCTGATGCTTTACCTGTGTGAGAGTGGCCATGTGGTAGGTTGAGGGTGAGTTATGGGGGTGGGGATGTTCACACGTTTGAGAGAGGAAGTGGATTAACGGTCACCGGGTGAAGAGTGGTTCTGGGACGTCCATCTTGCCAATCAGATGTTATTTCTCACAAATGGTGCTCGAAATGTAAAATATTATACAGACCATGCTTGTTTTTCAAATGAGGCTGGATGGGTGGTGGTGGGGGGGAGGTATGCAGTTCACCGAAACCTCTGATTGTCTTTTTCAGGAGCAGCATTTAAAGATTTAATCCGTGTTTTCTTAGAGGCCCATTTCCAAAATGACTTCCCTTACAATGAATTGCATGTTCTGTTGGGTTCCAATGAGTTTTGACCTACAAAACATCCAGACGTTTAGTTATAACACACAAAAGGATGAAGCTTTGCTCCAAAATAAAATCAAAGAGACAGGATTACCGTTTTATCAAAGCAGATTTGCTAAATTACAGCGGGCTGTTCTTATGTCAACAGTTTGCGGCCTGCGTGACAATATAATCTTACAATCCCACCTAGGAATTTGTTTTTTGAGGGGCTTCCCATGATGCGTTAACCAGTCTGAGGTATTTCTCCACAAACCTGTCCCACACCTTTTCTCTGTTTTTATCTTTCCTGCATTTGTTTTGGAGGTGGAAATGCTCTTTGCACATGTTAAGGAGAGGGCTCTTTTCTCTTCAGGTGACTGTGGCATCAATAAAAAGGCAGTTAAACATTCAAGCCTGCAGGCCCATTGTTTATTAAGTAAGCAGATCCACCTAATGTCATCAAACCTGTAACAAAGTGAAGTTATCAGCTCCTTCCCACAAAGATCTTGAGTGAAAACGATGCTATCAAGGTGAGATATTGGTCATTTGTGCTCCTTGTGAGTTTATATCTTTTCACATCTTTCTGCCAAACAACTATCCGAGGAATGTCACCCTGACCCCCAGCCTTCACAGAGAGATGCCTTGCTTGCCGTGTCACCCCACCCCCAACGCGAGCACCAACCCCTGCATCCTGTAGTTTAGGGTTAGTGGTGGTGGTCAGTGTGTTAGTGGAGCTTTGTGATGTGGGTGGGAAAAAAAGGTGGGGGTGGGGGCGGCAGTGTGGAATGCTGCTCCTCCGGTGAGGATGGGGGATGAGGAAGAGTGGAGGTCGGGGGGGGCTTGATTGAAGATTATCCTCGTCAGTTTTTTTCTCCTAAATGCAGAAAAATAATAATATGAAAATTCAGCATTGGGTCACCATCACTTTTGTAGTGCATGATGTGAAAACTAGCTGTGGAGAAGGAATGATGAGCTTCGTATGGCTTATTTGGTTATAAGCATAAAATACCACATACTTGATAAGAGTGGTTGGGTTCTGATTTTAAACTGGGATAAATGTTTCTACAAGCCAACGGTAACCATGATCTAGTCAATGGGGGCAAAATCATCTGCAGTTTTTCCCCATACAAATGAGTTGAAGAGAAATCAAGCACCCCCTTCTATCAGATTTACTGTGAGAAAAATGATTTCCACATTTGGAGTTTCCCAAACAACAAGAGGTTAAAGTTGAATGAGCTCTTGCTTTCTTGCCTTTCAGAGCAAGCTGCACATGGAAGGTTTCCGCAGCCTGAAGGAAGGCGAAGCGGTCGAGTTTACCTTCAAGAAGTCATCGAAGGGCCTCGAGTCGCAGCGGGTTACTGGACCGGGCGGCATCCACTGTGTGGGCAGCGAGCGGAGGCCCAAAGGCAAAAAGGTCCAAAAGCGCCGCTCAAAGGGAGACAGGTACGTACTGGCAAACTGGGAGGTTTTGAATAAAAGAGAGTGAAGGTAATTTGAAAAAAAAAAAAAAAAAAAAAAAGGAATACATAAAACCTCAAAAATGGAGAAAATTACCCAAAAGGGCGGGTTTTAATAGATGCTGCACAGGAAAAGAAATATTCCTAAATAATATGCCTGAAAATTTCAGTGACAATATCAATTACAACACACATTTTTCAGACTCCTCTTCTTTGACCCCTCTCCATAAGCTTTAGCACCTTTGCCATTAAAAATACACATTGAGTGTTGACATTAATGATCAATATCCTGCTGTTCACATATATTATCAACTGACAGAGCCTGAATCTGTTGCTCTCAAAATATAATACGATGTCCAGGCAGCCCATTAAAACTGCAATATTTCACACAATAAGGCAGAAATGATTGCACATCCATGTATTGTGGTTTCCTAGTTTTAACCCTTTATTACCTGAAGGGACAGATATCAAAATGTATCTACATTTTATAAATTGGGCTGTACATTCAATACTTTGGGCAAAACATTTTTTTTTTTCTTTAAAGTCTGTTAAGTTAAATAACGAGACTCACAATTTCACTTCAGATTTTTTGTGAAACATTTGGTCTTTTTGCAGTGAAGAATTACTTCACGTGTCCTAATCTTGGAAGAATTTCATTTAAGAAAATGACTGGCAAAGGCATAATTTGATTAGTATTTTTGAACTGAGAATCGCATACAATTGAAGTTGTTGTAAAATGTTTGTGATTTTTGTGTGTGTGTGTGTGTGTTCTGCTTGGATCAGATGTACAATGGTGTTTGTAGTTTCTCCTCACTTTTGTGCCTTTCCCTGGATCCCAACCCCCCGCTTTGAGCTCTACCCAGGGTCACATCAGCAGGGCCTGACGTGTGACCTGGATCAATAACTGTTTAAATCTGCTCGTCCCTGGTGAATTCAGATCTGCCCACTTTCTCCCTCTTCCTACCAACCCTCCTCAACGGACAGAAGTTTTCCTCTAAATCCAAAATTAATCCTGCAAAGACAGACTTTAGATTTCCCTTTTACTTTTCTCAAGATAAGATGCAAGTTTGTTGATTACTATAGGTGATTTTGTTTGGATATAACTTGATGCACACATGGAGGTGTCCAACAATCCGGCAAACAACTCACACATCGTAACTTTATCCAAATCCATGTTTTGAGAGTAAAAAGAAAGATTTAATCTAATTGGTCCAGAGGCAGAAATGGCATAAAGGGATTCGCTTACAAAGCCAGAATTAAAATGTATCTTTATCTTAAGACCCCAAGATGGACTACAAGGGAACTATGTGGCTTTTATCAGGCGAAACTAAAGGAGCTAAAGAGATCAGTGTTTGCAGATCACTCCGAGTGTCAGTATGATGCAAGGTTAGAGGTGTATCAACTTCACCACATGTCAGTTGTGATTACAACCAGAGCGAAGTGAGTGTGAGAACAGAGATCATTATGGCCTCAGAGTCCTGGGAGGCCGTCGTGGTTCAGTACTTCTCCACAGACCTCTCTGGTTCATGGATAAGGTGCGTTTTCTCTTCATTGCTTTGTGTTATGCAACACTGGATTGTCCTCCACGGATTGGGATGTGATTAACTGATTACCTTTTATTAATAAACAGTTTATGTATGTATATAAATTAGAAGCACTGTGAAGGAGTTCTGATTATTTAGAGAGAGTCGCTGTTCCAGCTTGGTTCAGATCACTGATAAACTCGCATATCTATCACTTTGCAAAGGAAAAAAGTTCCTGTTCATTTAATTGATAACAGATGCAGGAGCCCAGGCAAGGGGCGTTAAGGGTCATAGTTGTCATAGCAACCATGTATGAATAAAAGGAAGAGGGCTGGGGGCTTGGATGGGATTGGAGGGAGGTTGGAGGTCAGGGTTCAGAGGTCATTACTGCAGCTTTTTTAGACAAAGGGACCACTTCCACTTTCCTCCTGATGGATGCTGATGTGAGGAGCCTCTGTGATGGTGACGGTATAGACCTTGACACCACTCAAACAGCCAGGGCCACAAAGCCAACCTGACCCCTCAGCAGCCGCACCGTCCAAACCTCATCTGCTGCCACAAAGGTGGCCGGGGGGGTCCAGGGAGGCACCGAGTAACTGCCTCACGCCCACCACCCATCTGTCTTCCACCCCTGTACGCGTGGCCATTCTATAAATGATGTCCAAACAGCGGTGGCCGATGGCAGCCTGATGCCTTCAGCTGACCCCCATGCATAGAGTCTAACTAAAGTTCAATGGTGATGACACTAGAGCCACACTTTGATTGAACTGGCCCCAACTGGAAGCTTCTCTCAGCGACAAGCTGACAAATAGCACAAACTGTACAACTCTAAAGAAAAACCTCCAGCAACTTCACCAAACTGCTTGCTAAAATATTGCCTTGAATTGCAGTTGTGTTTCCTAACCTGGGATTATTTCAGTGACAAGCAGTTTTGAAATGTTCATAAATCTTGTTCTCCTCATGAAGATCTGCACCATCCCCTCAAATGCCATTTGAATTGGAGAGTTATGTAAAAAGTCGAGCTAGGGTTTAGCAGGTGAAATATTGCCATCTAGAGGCGGAAATGTATAATTTAGGATCCTTGAGAGTCAAAAACGGTCCCAACTTACTTTATTAAAATGCTTCTCCAGGAAGGTTTATGTATTTATTTATTTATATATATTTTTTGACTCAATTAAAAAGCGTTTTAGTAAAGTAGAAAATTTTGGGGAGATTTTAAAGGAAATATGATAGACTACAAATTGTTGGCTAATGTTTTCCTTAAAACAAACAAATGGGAAAGTAAGATGTCTCTTTGAGGCATCTGTGATTAATATTGTAGAATTTATTGCATTAAAATAATATATTAATAGGAACTTCAAGATATGTTAACTCGGCCCTGATACTGGTGAAATTAGATTTGTTGCAATAGACCAACAGTTGAAGGAACAAGATACATATTTTTTCTTTAATATAAAAATCTAAAAAGTACAAAGTGCACCGTTGTCAATCCAGCTTTACTCTGACATGCTTAAATAAAATCCAGTGCCTTCAGAAGTCACTTACCTTGTAAGTATCTTCTGTATAATTTCTTGTCAGTTTAATTACAGCTGTTCTGCAAAGATATAAATGGCAGGATGAAGGAGCACAGCAGGCAGGCCAGGGATAATGTCGAGACGTTTAGCTCACCGGAGCGAGTAACGAAAACAATATCCCAAGCTTGGAGCATCTCAATGTTCACTGCCCAACCCATTATCCAAAAACAAGAGAATCCTACACCTGCAAAGCTACCAAGACATGGCCGTCCAACCAAACAGATGGAGCCAAATAGAAGAACATTAGTTAGGGAAGCTGTGAAGGTGCAGTTGCAGAGATCCGCAGCTAACCCAACATGCAAAACCCTTACATGTCATGATGCTGTAAATCCAACAAAAAATTCTGACATGTTTCGCACCTTACAGTCTCCATACTTTCTCAAAAGAGCGATTTCATTCCATTGGATGCTCACGATCTGTTCTTTCTCAGGTTTATGTCAAACGTAAACTTCATGTATTCTCTTGTAGATGTTATAACTGCGGAGGCCTGGATCATCACGCCAAAGAGTGCAAGTTACCACCTCAGCCCAAGAGGTGCCACTTCTGCCAGAGCATTGACCACATGGTCGCCAGCTGTCCAGTAAAAGCACAACAGTCCTCACCAGTTTCTCAGGGAAAACCGTCCCCCTTGAAAGGAGACGAGGGGGAACACAGCCAGCCGGCGCCACCTCCTGAAACCTCTGACTAAATGGGAGATTGAGCCTCGCCGAAGCACAGGAGCCAATCAAATTGCTTCGACGGTTGAGAGAGGGGACACAATTCTCCTCCCTTGCTGTTGAAGCTGCTTTTGGAATTACCTCAGGTTAAAAACACTCATGAAGAATGTTGTCTTTATTACTTTTTATTTGGTGTAACACTCAGGAATAATGCTTCATTGTTGCACTCAGGAAGTTTAAATGTATGAATCCTTGCTACCAGGAACATTGGAATACGTAGAGATAATACTGAAAGGTGTTCACAGGCATTTGCAGATTTCTTTTATGTAACTGCACTTTCCTTGTGAGTTTTATTAATCAGTTTCGTTTGCATTATACTCAGTGTGTTGAGAATAGACCTAAACTTTTGCTGCCTTACTGTTCAGTATCCTTCCTGACTGTTACACCTTTCTGTCGACAAAGCACAGATGTACCGGACAGTGTCTCTGTGATGAATGTTAGCAAATGGGTTGCGTGGGGAGGGAGGGATGGTGTGTTGATTTGGAAAGAAAAAAAGAAAAAAAAAAAAAACACAAAACGGGTTTAAGGGTATAGGTATAGGCAACGCACTGCTGTGAGATTTGCCAATATTGCTGTTGACCATCCAGATTTCTGGGGCCAAATGAATGTCAGACCAAAAAGTGTTTTCTGGGTTTTGGTCAATTATTTTGTTTTATAAGTTGATTTTTATCTTTTTAGTACTCAGCATTTTGCTGGCTGTTCTGGTCTACCTCACTAGTGCATGTTAGGTCTGATATTTATAGATATCTGATTTTAGTTGGGATTAAATCAAATCCTTTTTGCACTACAGAATGTATACAGGATGAAAACTATTCATCACATACCACCATAAAGAGTAACTCAACAACCTGACCTGCAGCGATTCAGTTTCACACTCTGCTGCACTCTACACGTGTACTTTAAGACCTGAGAAATTAAAACCGCTTTGTGGTTGCTTGGTAAAACCATGAGGTCAATAGACTTCTGAAACACTCTTTTCATTTCAGCCAAATCTCGACAGCACAAAGCCAATATTCTCACCTCATCAGAGTGTCAAGCTGTTGCTTCGTTTCCTGTCACGATGTCCGAACATCAGAAGCTTGCAGAAGCTTGCGAGTGTACCGAGTTTAAAGCTCCAGGGCAAAGTTGAGGCCACTCAGCTTGGTTCTGTGATGTATCATTTCTCACTTTTAGTTATGCAAACACCATCATCTCTTATGGATGAACCACGAATGCCACCGAAAGGTCTTAATTTCAATCATTTAATTCAGAATTTGAAACTCGTTAAATATTCATTATACACAGAGTTTTAATAATCTCAAGTGTTTTATTTCTGTTAATTTTGAAAACGATTCAGTTTTTTTTTTTTTTTTGACAAAATTAGAATATTACACAAGATAATTATTCAAAAACAATATTAAGTAGAGAAACACCTGCTAACATAGGTATGCTTTGATCGGGTCTGGGCTCCTTTTGGGATAGATTGCTGTATCGATGCAGCGTAGCATGGAGGTGATTAAACAGTGGTGCTGCAGAAATGCTCAGGATGTATAGCTTGGTTTAGAAGCAACTTTCAGCTCGTCTGCATTGGTGGGTCTGGCGTCTCATCTTCCCCTCGGCAACATCCATTGGCTTTTTGACCAGGTTTAGGTCAGACAAGTATATTGAGCAGAGTAACACACTGACTTTGTTGAGGACACCTTGTGATTGTCTTCTAGTATAACTAGTATTACGCAATACAGTAATTTTCCTCATTTATTGATTCAGTATCATCAAATTGAACAGAAAAAAAAAATACTTGTTTAATACATACCTCTGTGTGTAATGAAGCTAAATAATTTTCACTTTTTAAATTATTGATGTAATTTTTCGGTTGTTTTCACCTTTGAGATGCACCTACATTCTTGCAAATCAATCAAAAATAGGCGAACGCCCGGCCTACAGAGGGCAGCACAATGCTGCTGTTTGGCTTGAATTCAGTCGGTCTTCATTTCTGGGTTTTCTTACACACTTTTATCTCTCTTTGAACAGTATTCTATCTTTACTGGCTGATCTGTAAAAGTTTGTTGCTTTATGACTACTTCAAGTTGGATTTGACTGAATTTTCTCAGGATTAAATTATACGTACATGGCATAAATACTTGAGCTTCTACTGAGTTACTGAGGGCTCCAGCTTTACTCTGGATGCTTAAAATTAGAAACAGAAACGAGGCAAAAATCAGACATGTTTCTTGTGAGCTCGCTGCTGCTGTTACTTTTTTATGTCCAGTTGGATCTATTTCTAGGTAGATATTTAAGACACTGTGTAGGCTTTTGACTCGGGAGCACCCAGCCTGCAAGGAGAAGCATGTAGACCTAGCTAGTCAAACAGCATATTACTCCCGTTTTACAGGAGATGCTGACTGATACTTTAACACCCAATTAATATATATGTAAAATTATTCTAAAGCCTTTTTAAGAAATGCATACTACTTATTTATTTTCATCCAAAAGCAGCGCATCTTCTCCCTGTGCTCCTTTTGAAGCCTACCAGCAATGAATGTTTGAGTAGAGATCATCATGTAAAACACAAATGGGTCGGTGAAAGCTTGAAGAAGATCTGGTTTACAATCTTAACATCATGGTACTCTTGCTGCTGTGTACATATGTGCTTGAAAGATCATTCCCTTAATTTAATTTGACCTGAATGCAAGGTAACAGTACTATATTGCGACATAAGAATATGAATATGCAATACATACTGTGCAGGTACATAGAATAATGACGACTGATCTAAACTGTGAGGATTTTCTTTTCCTTGTTTATCCTTGATTTTTTTTTCTTTTTAGTATTTTATTTTTTTTATGCGCAATGAGCCTTTTAGGAGAAAAGCTCATTGTTATTCCTATCTATGCCAAACCCAATGCAATGCCACTCTGCTCTAATCATGTGCAAGATGCATTAATATGTTTTCTATATTTCATTTTTGTTGCGCCCGAGTATGTTTAATGTTTTTATATCAGATTTTAATGTTTTTACACGCTATAAAAAATACCTCGTCTTAAGCTCATCTCAGGGATTGCTAATCTGAAAACTCAGGGATGGTTTTAGATTGAATTTGAGGAGTCAGTGTTAACTCCAGAACAAGCAAGGGTTAAATGCTCATTTAACAAAATGTGAAAAATGTAACAAAGAAGCCAAACTACTGAAAATGGCTTTGTGAGTGTCTTGGTGCTTATCTTGTTTTTCTTTTAAACATGGTGAAAATTTATTGGTAGATTTTTTTAAACTTTTGGTCAGGAAAGCAATCTTGCCCTAACATTGTATATCAACACAGAGTAATGGTGTTTGTTTTTTTTACATCTCCTTTGCCTAATATGAAGAAATGTTCCACTATTGTTGTATTCTTTCCTCTGTAATTGTTGTAGATTGGGATAAAAGTAGGATATTTTAAAGGGACTGGGGCTAGTAGTATATAATCGTTGTCTCATCTCAACACGTTGATAATTGGTGTTTCAGACTATCAATGCTTATGACAAAAAGAATGTGCTACAAATGACTTAACACACAAATGACTCCTTCTATTCTAAGTAGATTTCCCACAAATTCAGAATATGTGACGGAAAATCATTCAAAGGTTTGATTTAGATGTTGAATCATTTCACTCAAGAATTATCGTAATGTAAGACCTTACATTAAGTGAATATATTTCATTTACACTGCTAGTATTGACATCAATTATAACAATTTACTCTCTTTTCCTTATTTGTCACTTATCTGAGCACTGACTTCATTTGTTAAACTGACTTAGGCAATGTTTACATGTAATTCTCAAATTTGGAGTAAGCTAAACTTCTATAATGGGTTAGGGATTAATTAGTTGTACTTTGCTATCTCAAATTATAACATTGAAACTCAGAATGTATAAAAATCTACAAATTTATTGTCAAGTACTTGGTTCCTTTAAAGTGCAACAGCTTGTATGACTAGCTCAGGGTAACATTTGAAGCAGATCAAGGCATTTTAATTTTTTTTTTTTCTTTTTGTACTCATGTTGTTTTTGACCATCAGGCAGTTCATTTGTGGTTTTATTGTATTTTATAAGACAAATTTCTACAGAGCTACTTCAGAAAAATATGCATTTACTATTAATGAATGTATTAGTATTTACTGTCATAAAACTCACAATTATCTTTAACTCAGGAAATTTAATGATTATAGTCTGTCAGTGATGAGCAGCATGTGAGATTTTCAAAGTAGTTTCTATATGTAAAATGTTGCTTCATTTCATAATAAACTTGTCAATATTATTATTTTTTTCAGCTTTTCATTTTAAAAGAGGGGGTTGAGGGAGGTAATTGTTGTCTTACTTCTTTTTTTCTCAATTGTTTTAATTTTTGACCAGGAAAGATCCAGAGATTTAAATTTTCACGAGAGTGTTAACAACATAAAAGCAGCTCACAATGCACCTGAAATATAACAGAGTCGACACAGTAAAGAACATAAAAAGGTTTTCATTTGCAAACATCAATTTATATAAAAAGGTTTTGCAATGTTGAAAGATTGTGGTATAAATTCAACGCAATATGGAGCTTATTCTATAAAGTATAATATCTGAAGGCTTAAACACAAGCTTCTTGGCACATTTAATAGGAATAGGTGACATAAATAAACCTGAAACTACTGCACTTTTGAGGAAATAGGAGTTTTAGTATAAAGGAAGAAAAACCTTTCGATTCAACATAAGAACATAATGTGGAATGAAAACCATAAATTGGTAGATTGTACCAAGTGTATGTTGGCACTGTGGACATACAGCACACATATAACAAATCGTTCACCAGCTCTAAAATAAAATAAGGTTCTAGAGCAGTTTTATCTTGATTGCTTTTTTTTACCAACTGCTTGATGTGTGAGAATCAACAATCAGTATTCCTACATTTTTTTCAGATGCTAGCTCTGTCCTCAAAACGGAATAAGGACAGTAAATTCAGAGTACATCTGCAGTATTGTCAGCATAAAAATATTTTTAAAACCTGGTAGTATATAACATTTATGAGAGAATTTGTCTCTGCAGAACACAGAGTTTTTGGTTTAGTTAAATAGGTTCTACAACTGATATGTCAAAAGGTTAAAAGAGGTCACTGACAAAAGCTGGACTCTTTTGTTGCCTTTCACCTCCTAGAGCTGTTGTGTACTCTTTTTCTAAAACCAAACAGTTTTTATTTATTTCACTAGATATGCACAAATATGATATTTAAAAAAAAAAGTAAATTAAAACAAATTTAAGTCTCCTATTTATATCTGATCTTTGTTTCTGATGCTCTTTCAACACAACTACTTTGGCATGAAACATGCTAAAAATGGTCCCTGAATCATTGCTACATTCAATTTCTTTCTCTTCGACATGTTTCCTGTTGCTGATGCAGCACAGCCCACAGGGCCAACTAATTTGACCTTTCACTTCTGAATTCTTTAGTAAAATGACTCCTTTCGTGTATTTATTATAATGTCTTTTCTTTAATGTCCTTAAGAAATCTTGTGGGAGTGAGTTGGTTCATGTCAGGGCTGTTATTGAGACCTTGCCCATGTATTGCACATTCCTTTACTACATTTAGAAATAATATTCTAACAAGAATTTTTTTTATTCAACAGCCCTAAAATAAGAAAAATAATAAATAAATAGAATTTTTAAAATCTGCAACAAATCCTCAATAAAAGACTCCTTGACCCTAATCTGTGGCTCTTCAGCTTATATTTATGGGTGAGAAGCTTCAGTTGTTTATCTGCTGTAGGAAAAATGCAAAGGGCCGTGACTCTCTTGCCCTAAAAACTGAGATTGCACAGGAATTTGAATAAAAGGAATAAGTCGTGTTTCGTAAATACACTCGTAAACTTTGGCAGTTCTTTCATAATTGGTGCTGAGTGAATCCTTCCTTCTGTTGACCTCCAAATAATCAAAATGAAGAAAACCACAAAGCACATAAAATATCCCCCCTTCTCAGCAACAAGCAGGGGATGCTAATACCCCATTGATTACAAACAGATACATGTATCTATTTATTTATGATATAGCTACCTTAGCTATACCTATCATTAAATTCTGGTGAATCCAATCCATTTGGAAGATCACAGACATTTCTTGAGGAAATACATTAAAATCTTGATGACACTAAATGTTCTTCTTTTACCAAAACAGAAATTATCGTTTTTGGATCAGAACCTCTGATAAAGACACTGCTTAGACAATCACGTGATGAGGATGACATTGAATTCATAAAGTGAAGAATTTCTGATATTTTTGACAAGGATATGTCACTTAAATCCCGTTCTAAACAAGGTTTTAGGATTTTCTTATTACACCTCTGGAATATTGCCAAAATTAGACATATCTTATCCAGGAAAAATTCATCCATGCATTTGTTAGTTCAAGGCTGGACTACTGTAATTCTTTACTATCAGGAACCCAACAAAATGCAGTTACAAGCTTTCAGTTGATCCAAAATGCTATAGCAACAGTTCTGATGAAAAAAGTTAATATTTGGCTTCCTCGTTGGTTTCCTATTAAATACCAAATATAATGTAAGATTCTCTTACACCTAAACCAGTCAATAACCAAGCTCCATCAAACATCAGAAATCTGACTGCTCCATATGCTCCAAATGAGAACTGAATGAAGTTTTGCTAGATTTAAACAATTCAAATGAATTGATAGAGAAGTCACTGTTTGTCACAGAATCAATGTGTTTCTTTTCTGAATTGAAATATCTTAGTAATTAAACTTTTCGATGGTTATCTGACTTATTGGTAAGCACCTGACCTATGAATTAGGATTTACTTGTCTTATAAAAGCAAACATGAAGTAAACATGAACATCATCTCAACATTTTTGGTGTGACTAACAAAGTGAGTAATTAAGGTTAGTTGTTGGGTCTCTCATATAGCTTCACGTTTCATGAAGTGAAAGAACAGGAAAAGAAATGAATTCCTCTCGACTTTTGAGACAGAGTCATGTAGTATCGCGTATAACCACCAGGGGCGCTAATCTCTGTTTATATTTTCAATGACAACCTCATGCGAAACAAACATGGCTGCCGCCGCTACACTAGCCTGGCAGTCTAATGCTGCCTTAAATTACAGCTATTATTAAAAATATATTTATTACTGCTAGCTGTGAAGTTGTGTTCTGGGTTAAAATGGGGCTTCCGGTTCTCTCGGCTATTTTCAGAAGCCGGGCAGTTTGTCAAAGAGGCTTTGTGGCTATTTTAAATTGTCCGAAGCACATGAAAGCTAGCGTTTCTCTCTTCAGCCATTCAGCTGGACGCTGCACACAGACCTGTCAAGCTCTGATCTACCGAAAACACGGAGACCCTTCTGGAGTGGTTGAGTAAGAATATACGTCTGAAAAAAAAAAGCATTAAAGATTAAGTTCTTTCTTTATTTTGCAAAGACTTACCCCCCTTTGGATCCATGTTGCTTACTTTTTAATGTCTCCTCAAACGAAACTTAATGCCACATCTGTTGCAAACCAGAAAAATCTCACCTCCCTGTGATTGTCGTGTTTCTGGCTTTGTGCTCATAAGTGTCCGCCGAGGTTCTTGTAAGGGAAATCCCTGAGTAGCACCGAGTTTGTGGTGAATGTTTTTCCCCTCGAATGAGCCCATCTCACCTTCCGGGGGACTGATGGGCACATTGCAGCCCACACACCAACTATAACAGCTTGTTTTCATGATTGAAAACATTATGCTCAAAGAAACATAAAACAACATTGTGTGGTGGATACAATCACGCCTACCATATGAAAACGCAGATGTTTTTACACCTCAATATAAATTAATGCTCTTATATTAATAGGAACGTTTTGAATTTATTTAATAACCCCAAAAGAAATACCTTGAGTTTATGTCATTCACTATATTTATTGATCCCTTTCACATTTATTTCTTGAGATAATAAATTCCTGTCTCACAGTTTCATAGGACTGGATTTACCACTTTCCCAATCCCACTTTACTGACATTGGTTTTGATCATTAAGAAAAACTAAAACTTAGTAATTGTCCAAGGTAACAATTGTTTTTGTTTGTTTGTTTGTTTGTTTGTTTGTTTTTTACTCATTCTGGGACAATGAGAGCACAAAAAAAGCAATTTTAGTACAAAACCAAACATCAGAAACCAAAACATAATACTTTCTCAGGGAGGAATTACTGTTCAGGCCTTCCTCTGGATTTCTACTGTCAGCAACCTAATATTGAGGTAGAACAAGGTGTATTAGTCAAATTATGAATGACTCCAGGCTTGTCTGTTGACAGTTTTGTGTATTTTTTTATTTTTTTTATAACTGCTAATATTTTGACAGATGTTTTTAATTCCAGATGGAGTCATTGACGGAGAGTTATTGGCAGTTCTACTGATGTGTATTTGGGGTTTTTTCACCAAAAGAAGCACTTAGTTTCATTTTTAGCAATGTTTTCTCACTAACTTTCTGTGATCTTTGTTTCTCACTTTGAGAGAAAGTAGTTCAGTCTACTTATGTGCTTAGCTGTGTATATTTCCTGATGACATTCTTAAGTTTGCTACCTCTTTAATTTTTCTTTCCCATAGATTTCACTAAATCAATATGCCTGATTTATGAGGTGTTTTTTGACCTGGATTGCTGCAACTTACTGTACCTGTTCCTTTTCATTTCCCATAAAGTACCCCTGGCTCAATGGTTTTGTGCTTAACTGTATCTAATTTTTCCTGCAGTGAAGCCTTTCACAAAGCTGTTATTGAAATTATCCTTATGTGTTACTGTGCTTTTTTGTTTTAAATTCCATTGAAGGTACCAATGGGTACAGATGTTTTTGTGTAGCAAACCTAAATGGAAGGATTGATTGAGCTATGAATTCTGCTTTCCTTGTTTTTTTCATAAAGAGTACATGTGGCACAGTTTATTTATTTTTTTTTTTCACTTTTTCCAGATATTAATGTTATTCTGACTGTAAAGCAACATAATAGGACTAAAGATATCATGGTTTGTGTTTTTTGACTGAATCTTGTATTGTATTTTTTTTCCATTCCAGGTTGGAAGATGTACCAGTGCATCAAACAGGTGCAAAGGAAGTCCTGGTTAAACTGCTGGCATCTCCAATAAATCCATCTGACATAAACATGATTCAAGGTATTGGTTGGTTTTATTCCACATAATGCACCAACAACAAAAAAATACATTATTATGAAACTACTATTGTATTTCTAACAGTTTTTTTGTGGGTTTAGGCACCTATTCTATCCTGCCAGACCTTCCTGCCATTGGTGGCAATGAGGGAG